GACTTTTTCAAAGGTAACAGCAGCAGGGTCTCTAAAATTTCCATGTTTTGTTTTCTTGATTTGAGATCTTTATAGTAAGCCGGAGCTGCCTTAAGAACCCAGCACTGATTTCAAAAAACAATTTCTCCATTTTTAATATTTTTTGGTACACATTAAGGCAAAAGATATAAGATAGGAAATCAGGGAAGATTTTGAAATCTTATTCCTGGACGGATGGTATTAGGGGCTGGTACATGGAAGGGAAGTGAATACCAAAGAGAACATCTCAGTTTTCACAATTTTATCCAAGCTTCACGACCCAATTTCCAATTATCCCTGAGTCACCAACTCCAGGTATAGCTATGACATGAAGACCAAATGAAATATACTTTCTACCTTTCACCAAAACAAAATTAGAAAGCTCGTTAGTAATTATATGTACTATTTTTCCATGTATTTCCCTTAAGCCTTGAGTTTATACAGACCTCTATTCTTGTCTTTTGGAAAAGCTAACCCAGCGTGTGTACAAGGGGATGGAACTGCCTAGTTAGAACCATTAAACTCATCACACCATGCAGGCTGCAATTTGAAGATATGCTTTATTGCCGTTAGGCAATTGAGTTTGTGACTCTTGAAGAGCCATTCCAATTTTCCCCCCTTTCATTGTGTATGAAGAGACTTGACTTATGCGGTACATTAGGGGAATTATACAAAATCTTTTCAACTTTTGCCTTAATACCTAGAGTACAGAATTGAATATAGTCGGGGAGAGACTGACCTAGAAATGAAGGCAAACTGCACAGGTGTTCCACCCCAACAATAACTCTTCCTGAGGCTTACTGTTCCATGTCCCTTTCTGGGGATATGGATGCCAGCTCGCTATTGACAATGTTCTATCATGTCCAAATGAGACAGGATGCGGAAGTTCTAGAAAAACAACAGCTACATCAAGCTTCAGAGATGCATCACTGGGAGGGAAGAAGTGCCTTGCCTCTCATTACTCCAGTCATAATATAACAGCCAAAATGTTTCTGAAACTGCCATTTATGATGCTGCATTAGTGTATGAGGGCTGCTATAATAATATACCAGAGACTTGGTGGCTGAAAAAAACCCAGAAATTTATTTCCTCACAGTTCTGGAGGCTGGAAGTCCAAGACCCAAGTATTGGTAGGTTTGGTTTTGCCTGAGGTCTCTCCTTGGCTTGCAGACAGCCTCCTCCTCCCTGTGTCCTCACATGGTCTTTTTCTGCATGTGTTCATCCCTGTGTCTCTCCTGCTTCTTATGAAAACATCAGTCTCATTGGGTTAGAATCCTTCCATATGACCTCATTTGATCTTAATTTCCCCTTTACTGGACCTGTTTCCAAATACAGTCACATTCTGAGGTGTACTGGAGGTTAGTTAGAACTGCAATAGGTAAATTTAGGAGAGACACATTTCAGTCATAACACTGTCCTCAAAGCAAACCTTTAATATAGCAATAAATTCTTACACTAAGTGGTCCCTTTGTTCCAGATTCTGTCCTAAGCCTCAACGGTCCATTAACCCATCATTCTCCCAATAACTCTCTCATGTTGGCACATTCTTACACATGAGAAAACAGAGGCACAGAGGCTAAGAAATATGCCCAAAGGTCACACATCTAGCAGATGGCAAGCCTGGGCAGTCGGGGATATTTAAATCCCATAATCTGCCTCAAGAGCCGTATGCTTGACCACTGTCCTCTATGCCCCAGGCTTTAAAGGCATGGATGCCAACTTCGGATGTATGAGACCGTCCCAGTGGAATCAACTGCCCATCAATGAGAATAATTTAACTAAAGGCATTCTCTGTGCTCTCATGATGCAGTTCTACTCTATAAACAAAACTACCAATTGTTCACTCTTTCTCATGATTCCAGAGTATGTTGCATGTGACTCGCATAGTGGTGAAATCAGTGGGCTGTGGGGCTGCACTGCCTGGCTTTAAAATAGGAGCTCTGCTACCTCTAATTGAGCAACTTTGGGCAACACTTAACTGCTCTGGTTCCTCATCTGTAAAATGAAGATGATAACATCACTCACTCCTGGGGCTCTCATGAAGGTCAGGGGGGACAGTCCATGGCAGGGGTCCTCAAACTTTTTAAACAGGGGGCCAGTTCACTGTCCCTCAAACCATTGGAGAGCTGGACTATAGTTTTAAAAAAAAACTATGAACAAATTCCTATGCACACTGAACATATCTTATTTTGAAGTAAAAAAAAACAAATGTTTTCGGTGGGCCGCATGTGGCCCGCGGGCCGTAGTTTGAGGACCCCTGATGTAAAGTATCAGCAGAGTACCAGACACAGTACACATTCAATAAATGTTGGATGACTCTATCTATCTGATACTTTTTAAGTGATAAACTGTGCAAAGAGTGGGTGTTTCATAAAAGCTTGACTAAGTTCTGCTACATGTCATGTTACAAAGGAATATTTTCATGAGAAATGTACAAAACCTCCCCCAAACAAGTTAATTGGAATCTTAGAATGTCCCCTTGTGTTTCATTTATACTTCTAAGTCTCAAATACACAGTTACATTTCCAGGAAGTTTGTGTTTATATCTTTAAATATTGCAGTAATAGAAGATCTTAGAGTACAAAGAAATAATTTATGCAGATATATAAGAACCACTTAACAATGGATATGAGAAAAATCAAGCCAATGTCATAACATCACTGTGAGGAAATAAGAAAGCAATGAATACCATGGCCAAAAGAATAGTCAAGATCATTCTCAAAATAAAAGCTTTTGTAACAATACTTGGTTTTCTTATGCATAAAGCAGAATTAAAATTATGGATTGCTAGGAGAATCGAGTAGAAAAGTGTACAAAACACATTATAAATGCCAATGCCTACTTATGGAAAGTCTTCAGAATAAAAATACTTCATTGCTGCTTTTATATAAGTCATTCAGGTGTGGCTTTGAAATTTGTAAATTTTTAAAGCTCCTTAGAAGTTTCTTATAATTGTCCAGGTCTAGAAACATATTAGATGTGCAATTAAGGACGCCATTATCTTTACTATATCAGTATAATTTCAGGTTTACATTCAAATTGTTATTCTTATACGATAGCTCTTTAGAGACACAAGTCAAATTTGTGAGCTGATTCAGAAGTCTGGAGTGGGGCAGGAATCAGTATATTTAAAAGTCCTCCAGGCAATTCCGATAGTTATGTGGAAACCCCTCCTATAATTTTGCACTGTGTCTATCACTTAATTGAGACTAAATGTGTTGACAGACCCTCTAGTATGTAGCTCTAGTATGAGGTGACCAAAAAATCCCTTAAAATATGTCTGGCTCCAGATCTCAGTCAGTCACCATAAGACATTCCTTATAACACATTTTCATCACTTAGATGGCAGCTCTAATGCAAAATCAGCCATGGGGCTTACAGGGTGACATATGAGAATCACGTGCAATGGGAACCAACAATATTGATGCGAATCTGAGCTTCAATTGCAACTCGTTGGTTTTACTTTGAAAGGTGGCCTGGAGCACGGAGAACCAATTGCAACTCGTCTATGCAGATGCTCACAACATTTCAGACGGTCTCCTAGGCTTGGATGAGTGATATGCCTCATTCTCTGCATCCCATTGCCAGAACAGTGCTTCACAGGGAGAAGTGGGAGATCCATGGAATTGGTCTCTAAATGAATGCTGAGGGATTAACCCCCATTGGCATGTTGGTTAATGTAGTTAAGTAAAGTAAAATACAATTAAAAATAGGGAACAGGATAGAATAGATGAAAGGAAACCTTCAGAGCAATAACAAAAAGAGCTTTAACTAGAAGTGAATTCCTAATGGCTTCCTAGGAAGTGACACAACAGTGATGCCTGGAACATCAGTAATTTGGGTCACATTTTAGTTAGGTTTCAACTAAAGCTTTTAATGTATACAGGCCATAACTGATGAGATATTCTTGTAGATGGAATGAAACAAAAAGAGTAAAATAAATGAAACAAAAAGAGTAAAGAGGATAAAAGATAAATGTTCCTCAATGAACATTTTTGCCCTCCCTCCCTCCCCTCCCCCCCCCATCTGGCACCATGGACAGCAACACCCTAATAATTACAATTTCCTCTGTGGACACTGGTAGCTACAATGACAGCAGGAAAATAAACCCATGTCCTTACATTGTCCCATGTCCAAACATTTTCCAGGGGGCCTGGAAAGCCTCTTATGGCCCAGCTTTCTTCTCACCTCTAGAATGACCTCTAGATTAGAAGCTTCAAACCTCAGAGACCCCACCTGTATCTTCCCTCTCCCTGACCCTCATGCGTGATCTCTAAAGAGTGATATGCTAATCAGTTACCCAAGCCTTAGAGAGATAAACAAATAATTTTAAAAATTGTGTCTTTATTCATGTGTCTGTTAAACACATAGCAGCCCATTAAAGGAACAAGTATCACAAATCGTGTTTCTCAACCTTTTTCCATCATGGCCTCCTCTGACGAGCTTTTTCCGACATTTTTTTAATGTCAACCCCCCCATGAAATTTTAATACCACAGATACACTATAAATCTGGTTATGTAATATATACACATAAAACCAGTACAATTTTTTCATCCACTAAGAACCAATTTTCACCCTCGTGGGGGAGATATACTCCCCACTGAGAATGCATGATCTCGAAGCAGGCAGCAATTAAAGTATTTTGCCAAAAGTATCTAACTACTGCTAATACTTAGTGGAATATAAATCACCAAAAACATTATCTTTCCTATAAATCAATAAACTATATTAAAAAGCTCCAGAGAAGCGAAGTCTTAATCTCCTGAGATTCTCCTGAGAAGAAACACAAATCTCTCTCAGTGCCTACTGCCTCTTCCTTCATCCTCCACAGGAAAGTCTTACAGAACTGACGAGCTTTACCCTCAGTTTAACACCAAACCCAGTGAAGTTCTTTCTTCAACCTTAAAGCATTTTAGCTACATGCTAAACCACAAACACTGTCCACCCATTTCCACCCCATAAACTAGATAAATGCACTTACCTCTTGCCGTTTGAAGTTCTGTACATATTCTTCAAACTGTTCGTCTTTTGTCTCATCAGCTTTTCCAAGCTTCTGAAGGACCTAATTTGCAAATACAACAAAATGGTTTGATTTAATAATGGTTTCAAATAATAGAGCAAAGCTGTTGTTTTTCTCCTCTGAGAATTCACTCGCAGTCTAGCTAGTTTTTCGGTTCCGGAAGCATCTTGGCTTGGTGGCTTTGGAGCTGAACACACTTGGATTTCAATTACAGTTCCACCACTCACAGGCTGTGTGACCTTGAGCAAGTGTCATGCTAGGTTGAATTTGTTTATTTACATACTGTATCTGTTTCCCCCAATAGGACACAAGACTTAAAGACAAAAGCTATTCCTTGTCCTTTTGTCCAAAGCATCTGGCACAATACCTGATACATAATAGGTGCTCAAATTTTTGTTAAGTGGTGAACCAAAGTTATTTGACTACAGTATTCACTTACTCCATAGGGATGGTATTAGAATTACTGGAGTTAGGCATATGGTAAGCTTGCCTCCACCATCTTCCAATGATATTTCTTTCAACTGAATAAATACTCAAAGGGGCACTGGGCTAGACAAGGCCCCATGCTAAGTACAGTGGGGCCTTGACTTATGAATTCAATTCGTTCTGTGACGGAGCTCGTAACTCAAATTACTCGTATGTCAAATCAAAAGTGAATGAGTGAGACACGTGATGCTGGGCTGATGTTGTGGCGTTCACTGTGACGTTCACTGCGCCAACTAGCAGTGGGGTATCTGAAGCTGGCTCGTAACCCAAATTTTAGCTCGCAACTCAAAGCAAAAAATCGGCCGAGAGACGGCTCGTATCTCGAAAAACTCGTTAGTCAGGACACTCGTAAGTCAAGGCCCCACTGTACTGGGTATCCAGAAATACAAAGACATATAAAACAAGGCCCAGCACATAATCATGGGACTTTTGCTGCTGACCTGCCCCCTGGCCCAGTGCTGGTAAAAGCGGGCCTTGGTGCACAGCGTGGTCCTTCCCACATGCACCCAGGCCCAGCAGAGGCAGCCACAATCTGTGGATCACTTTAGCTCCAAACAGGTTGCCAAGGGCCAGCCACAGGCAGCGTCTTCCATTGTCCTGCACCAGAGTTCCTCCCAAGAGACCCAGAACCAATGCACCCCGTGGCCAGCATCAGACTGTATCAGATCAGGGTCCAATAAGCTTTGCAAGTGGCATATCCAGAGGGAGATATGGCACCAAAACCTGCTGAGGCAAACTCCACTTCGGGTCGTCGGCACCCGCACAGCAGATTACAAGCTATGGCTGGGGTTGATCCTCACAGTCAGCCAGCCTGAGGGGCAATCCCACACACGAATGGACCAATAGCAAGCAAGTCTCAATTACATCATGAGGGTCACACAAGAAATATTCCTGGAGCACCCAGCTCAGGTGATCAAGGAGACTGCACCACTGGACCCCACAAGAAACTACTACACAAGGCAACCCCACAAAGACTGGGAGTCATAGCAGATCTATACACTACACAGAAACAAACACAAAGAGGCAACCAAAATGGGGAGAAAGTTACTTCAGAAAAAAAGAAGAGGATCCTGAGAGCCACGACTGGGTACATTATTCAATATTTCTATATCTAATTTCTAAAACACAACTTATTCAAGAATATAGAAGCCCCACAAACATTGCCTTCTCAACATACCCACACCCAATGGCATTACCAAATACGTTTCTATGAAACGTAAACATTTGGGCATTAAAACATATACTCACACACAGCACTTTCTATGGCTAGGTTTTATATCACATTATGCTAATTTGCTTCCTAAAATCAAAGATCTAACCTTGTACAAATGAATAAGTCTTAATGATTCCTTTTAATGCAAAGACAGAGTGAGAAAAGTCACCAAAACTTAGGAAGAGACAAAAGAGATTCCCAGGCGTCCCCTTTTAGTGCAGTGCTGGACTTGCACTTCTGATTGGCTTCCTATCGACTGGCTACTTATAGCTCCACAGAGACGGGGCTTAACCTGAAGATTTTCGTCTGTAAGAGATGAAAATAGTTTCTGCTCAATGGAAACTTGAACCTCAAAAGTTTATAGCTTATGATCCTGTGAGACATTAACCAGTTTTGGATCTAAATCAGCAATCTTACTCTAAAATCCCTTTATTAAGTAGTCACAAACACTCAGATCCTCAACTACACTTTTAATCAGTTTTAAGACCTTATGAATTAATTAGAGGCCTGGTGCACAAATTCGTGCATGGGTGGGGTCTGGCCGGCCCACCCCAATTGGGGCTTATTGGGACAGGCTGGCCTGGGGGAGGGGCTGCAGGAGATTGGCCAGCTGGCCCCGCCTCCGATCTGGGTGGTTGGCCAGCTGCAGTGCGCATCATAGCGATCGGTTGTTCCAGTTGTTCAGGTGGTTTAGGTTGCTTGGCTTTTACAGACAGTCCTCGAGTTACATCGGACTCCACGTACATCGTTTCGTGGTTATGTCGCCATCTCCCATTTATTTATAAAAAAAAAGTTCCATCATTTGATGTATGTACATATGTGCTTTATGTTTTTTTATTATTTATTTACCACAAGTAAAGGTCAGGATTGTTATCTTTCTTTAAATTTTTTTTTACTGTTTCACTTCATTACTGCTGTGTATGTGCTCCATGTGAGTGACGTAGGTGCTTATGTAGGTATGTTCCAACTTACGGCGAAAATCGCGTTATTCATGCTGTAGGACTGGATCTCCAACATAACCAGAGGACCTACTGTATATATAGATGAGTTGAATTAAAATACATGACACATGTTTATTTCATGTTTTTCATGAAAATCTTGTCTTTACTTTTGAAACATCATACTTCAATAACAGGGTCAACTTAGGAATGCTGGGAAAATGTAAAATATTATTGTTATTATTTTATTACTATTGTTCTAAGAATGATAGGGCAAAGCAAAATTACACAGGCCATTTGCAAGAGGAGTAAAATTCAATGACACAGGAGTTGTTGGCCTTGTTACCAGATCTCCTCTCATCTACTCTCATATTTTCATTCTAAGTATAATAACTTTAAGAAAGAAGAATTTTGCTTGATTGCTTCTATTTTCCTTTAAATATTTTTAAAAGAAAAGCTAAGTCTCCCAAATGACCTCCCACACACAAAACACTAAAGTATCAGGGGAAAGACATCTAGTATTTACCACATGAAGTTTTTCCTAATTCTTAAAATCTACTTATTCATAAATTTTTAGTCTACCTAGATCAGGTTAGTCATTGAGAGGCAGCAATACCTCATCTGCTGTTAGCAGTTCACAAAGGTCAGGAAAGGCTATCAAACTCTAATGAGCAAGCAGCACACAGCTCAGTTCCACAAGTTTATATGTTAGTGAAAAGGAACTCTTGTGTCAGAGAGTGGGAGAAAAGAAAGAGACAAGCATTTATTGAGGACCTAGTGTGTGCCTGAAACTGCAGAAAGTGATTTACACATTACCTCTTCAGTTCTCTTAGCACCCCTATCTGGTACTTACTTCGGATCACACAGTGAGTAAGTGGCATATTAGATGTCCTCAAGAAAATCCCCATTCTGAGGTCTGATACCTCTGTCACGACCACAGATAGCCTTTTCCTTCTCATGGAAAGCAAACAGGGATATGTCAAACTATTATTCTCATATTTTCATTCAGGATTCTTACAGGCTACTCTAAGAAAGTGCATCTCCGAGGCTGCACAGCTACAACAGTGGAGATCTTTGGCAGAACCCTTGCTGAAAGTCATTATTTGAATTTCAAATCATGATTCCTTGCTTTTCATTTCTAGCAACTGTACAGTATAAATAAAACAGCAACCACAACAAAAACGAATCCTGAGTGAAAAAGGAATAAATAAATTATAATTAGATGACACCATGAGCCCACACTTTCTCTTCTAAGGAAATAATAAAGGATCTGGAACTCCCTGAGTTACAGCACACCCACACCTTGATGTCAGCTTCTTGACAGCGGCAGCCATAGAGGAGAGATGACAAAGGAGAGATGGGACAGAGATTCCAGCTTTTGCTGAGAACCTTCTCCACATCAATTACTAGGTTAGGGACTTTGTGTCTATTATTTCAGTTGATCCTCACTGCCACTCGCTCATCCCCATTTTACAGATGAAAGAACTGAGACTCAGAGAGGTCAGGCAACCTGCCTCTGTAAGTAACAGAACCCAGATTCACACCAGACACTCCCACCCGAGTCCTCACAGTGCCTTCCTCACAGAGACAGCACCAATGGGCTGATCCAGCCAATCAAATAGGTGCCTATAATACGGTCCTAAAATATAAATGCCAAACTTCTTTAAGATCAAAATTTTAATGTAGTCATAGAGAGTGATATCCAACACAGTTCTGAATTATTTGTCTTTATTTGCATATATCCAATGCATCCATCAAAAACCATGATGATTCTTCTTACAATAACAAAACTTATGTTTCTCTTCTTTTTCATGCACTATTAACCTCTTACCTGAGATTAAAGGCCTACTTTGCTGAACCATCAGATTCTACCATCATTAGCTCTCTTCTCATTTTCCCAGTGCTGCCAAACTCTCTTCTAACATGCCCCTTTGGACCTGTTATTTCTCTCCTTTAAGTCCTATTATGGTTTCTTGAATCAAATTCTAATTTCTCAAGAAGGACCCTAAAGTCCCAATTCTTATAGATCAAGAGAGACAGCGTATAATGGAAAGAGCAGTGGTTAGAAGGATGGTGAGACCCTGAGGTCCTAGTCCTTAGAACGTCATTTAGGGATGGTAAGGCATATGGTCGTTAATAAACAAAGATATATATTTTAAAAATAAAATTGTATACAGATTCACACACATTACCAATTATTCTATATCGCTCTATTTCACAAGCCATCATTACATATGAATAATATAAAAGATATGTTATTCCTCATTGCAAATTTACTATTTTAAAAAAAGGCTGGAGGGATCCAGTAACATAAATATTAAAAGGACAAATAATCAGTCTTATTAACTAATAATATTCTCACTTATATAAGGGTCTTTTTTAAAGGCAGCCCAAAATGCTGCCTT